AGGATAAGTAGTCTTTTCAACAAATGGTTCTGGGACAAAGGGATATCTGATACAAAAGAATGCAGTTCATTTTATATATTGTAGGAAAGATAAGTCTAAATAAATGAAAGGCCTAAATGTAAGAGCTCAAACTATAAACCTCTTAGAAGAGAGCACAGGGACACATTTTTATGACCTCATATTTGGTATTTGATATCAAAATTCTGAGCAAAAAAGAAAACAACAGATCTATAGAACTTCATCAACATTTAAAACTTTTGTGCTTGAGAGAATACCATCAAGAAAATGAAAAAATCCACAGAATACAAGATAATATTTGCAAATCATATATCTAAGGGATTTGTGTCTGGAGTGTATAAAGGACATTTATGACTCAATAATAAAAAAGACAAATGACATAGTTTTTTTTAATGGCCAAAGAATCTGAATAGATATTTCTCCAAGGAAGATACACTAATAAAAAATAAGCCCTTGAAAAACTGTTCAACATCAGTAATCATCAGGGAAAACAAACCAAAACCACAGTGAGATACCAGTTCACAAACACTAGGATACCGGAATAAAAGTCAGAAAACAAAAACCATGTAGAAAAATTAAGCCCTCCTACCCTGCTGGTGAGAATGTAAAATGGTACCACTGCTTTGGATAGCAATTGGGCAGTTCTCACATGATTAGACATAGTGTTATCAGCAATTCCATTCCTGAGTACACACAGCCTAGAGAAATAAAAACAAATGTTCATGCAAAAACTTGTACAGAAATATTTATGGCAGCATTGTTCTTAAGTTCCAAAAGATGGAAACCATCCTAGTGTTCCTTAGTGGATGGATGGATAACAATATAGGGTGGATCTACATAATGGATTATTATTTGGCCATAAAGAGGACTGAAGTACTGATTCCTGCTACCAATGGATGAACTTTGCAAAGTGAAAGAAGTCAGTCACCAACGACTACATATTATATGATTCCAGTCATATGGAAGTCCACAGTAGCAACATTTGTAAAGACAGAAAGTAGATTAGTGGTTACTTGGGCCAGGGGCAGATGGAGGGATGGGAAAGTGATAGAAATGTTTTAAAACTGATTGTAGGGGTGGTTGCACTTATCTGTGAATATACCAAAAAAACATTGAATTGTACATGTTAACTTGGTGACTTGGATGGACTGTGAAAAAAGGTTGCTAAAATAAAGAAATCTGAACATTGTGCTAATAGAACCCCAGTGAGACTAATTATTACGTCAATGATGATGCTGGAAAGAGGTAAAAAATGACTTAGAAGAGAGAACATTTGAGGTGGTTCTCCCAGGGTAAGAGCCGTGTTTAATCTCTTTTTCTCATTTCTCGTCTTGCAAGATGGGATGGGCATTTTGTATTTGCCCCCAATTCCTTTGAAAACTTGTTGTGTGCTTTAATAAGTCGTTTATAAAAGAGTACCTCCACCTCATTAGACAAAAATAACTTAATGTTTCCATCACAAAAAAACTGATGTCTATGATCTTTTAAAAACTTAAAATCCTCACCCCTTCTCCATGGTAATGGTTGGTGTCAGCTCTCTGCTCTAAGCGGTCTGTGCTAATGCGGTGGCCCATTGAGTTGGGTAACTAGAAACATTAAGTAATCTTCCTGGATAAATTAGAATGCTGTCAATATTTCTGAACACTGTTTTCCGTCTCCTTTGAGCTGATAGTCCCTACCCAGATGGGCAATAGAACATTTGAAGTTCTTACACCTTACACAGCAGGGAGGGTTGCTGAGCTAATGATCACCAGTTGAGATTTAACTATCATTTACTCATTTTTCATTCTTTTACTGATGCAGTTAATTTTTCAACCAATTTGTTGTGGCTTGCTTACTCTAGGACAGACACTCTAATGAATGTTGGAGATACAAAGTTGGCAAATAACACGATGCCCTTGTCCTCCTGGAGCTCACAGTCAATGGCCAAGGGCAGACAGTAGGAACAGACTACAGCAATATGCTGTATGTGCTTTGGAACACCTGGTCGTAAGGTCAGAACTGACTTCAGAAAGGAAGAGACACTGAGCTGAATGTGAAAAGACTGAAGTGTGTTCTTCTGGCCAAGGTGAAATGTGTGTATGTGTATGCATGATTTTGGGCAGAGGTGCAGAACATTTCACTGAAGAGAACAGCATGTGCGAAGCACCCCACAGTGAAACTGAATGCCCGCACGCATTGTACAGCATCCTCCTTTATGGAGTTAGGCAAATATGTCCGCACATTAATCCTGACTTCTACATCTACAAGGTTCAAAGGAGACCAATTTAAGCTCTTTCTTGGAGCATGATAGGCCTTTAACCTCTTTATCAGGATATCTTTTCCTGTCCACACACCCCCACAGCCTCTTCCAGAACTGGGAACCAACACCCAAGCCCAGATTACTCATTATCCGAGTTCAGGCAGGAAATGGACTCCCTTCTTCAGTGAACCTCACTGACACATGCCATCTCCGTTTGGCCAGTCCAAAACAGGCCAATGGATTTTGGAACATATCATCTTTTTCGTACTTCAGCTGCTTCTAACTTCAGTGCAGAATTCACAAGAGGTTTTAAGTTAAGCCCGTCAAAGCGTCTGAAAATTCTTCTTTGAACAGAAAGCAGACGCCTAGTCCCTGTTAGATGTAACTATGGAGTCACTGTGGGCCCCATGTATCAACCACCCTGTATATTAAATAAACTACCTTACATTGATATAATCTCACACAATTTATGAAGATATACCACACATAGCAACTCATAGTATAATTCTAAGGTTAGAAGGTCAAGTGTTTTCTCGACTAACAGAGAAGAAAATAGAACTCTGTGACATGACCAATGTTATTCAGCTAGTAAGTAACAGAAGCAGGGCCAGAGCACAATTTTCTAATTTGAATGTTAAGTTCACAATCTGGCATCTGCTTTTTGTATTAATTTGGGTTTTATTTTTCTCACATGACAGGAAGTTCAGAGGTGGGTAAGTTCAGGGTTGTGACAGTGAAACGGTGTTTGGTTCACCTTCCTTATTTCATAGGTATTTGTCCTCTGCTTGTCCCCTCCTGGCCACTAAACGACTGCTGCAATTTGAGGCTTCAAGTTTGCTGTCTCAGAAGGAAATCCGTGAAAGGGGTACAGGGCCAAGAAGCCTAAAAGCTGAGTCTGTCAGGTTTTAACAGATAAATAGACGCTTTCCTGAAGTCCCTCCCAGGGACTCCTGTTCACACCTGCTTGACCAAACCAGGTTACGTGGCCATTCCCAGCTGCCAAGGACAGTAAGAAAAGAGTTTTACTTTTGGATTTCTAAAATCCAAGGCAAGGGAAGAGAGGACATTGAATAGCTCCTGGTAAGGAATCATCTACTATGACTATCACTGAGCTATATTTAGTCAGCTTTTTAAATATCATATCTTACTTTTCATTAGATATGTCATTATATAGAGACTATATTCTGCATGTATTATATATAATATGTTATCTAGATAATCCATGACATAAAGTAAATTATTATATAGAATATTAAACTATATGCATATCTGATTGGATTTAAATGGGAAGAGGTTAGATTGTCAGAATATTTTGAATAAAAAACCTCCAACCCTGGACCCTTCTTGTTCTGGCCTAAGTGCTTTTGCACAGAGATTGATAAAATGTAGGATTCTTCAAACTGGCCATTCCTGTGCCCATTTGGTACTCTTCTCCCTTTTTTCTTTTATTTCTTTCATAGAAATGTTAGAATACAAACACAGTAGGAAGGATAACATGATGAACCCCTTACACATAGGTAGATGGGTGTTTTGCCTATCCCTCCTTGTTTCCTCTGGAATTTTTAAAGCATACGTTTCATTTCAGTACACCAAAACGAACTATGCTTGTGAGCCTCAAATGCCTTTTTTATTCTTCAAATAAGAGACTCTACAAGAATTTGAACATAATTTTGAGGAAAAAAAACTACAAACGGAAAAATGTTATTTGAAAATTCTTCCCCCACCCCTCTTTCTTCCTCTCTTCTCTCTCTCTATAGTTTGATCTCTTGTTACATAGGAGTAACAACAAATTTTTAGAGAGAGAGATACATTTTAAAACAGAGAAGCTAAATTACAAAGGAACTGGAAAGCTAAGCAGGGTTTGGGCAACCCCCTGAGGGGTACCTCTCACCTCTGCTACACAGAGCAGGGTTTATGACCCCCCCGCCCCTATCTTAAATTTTAGGTCACAGTTATGTGTTTTTTAAAGTACCAGTGGCACTTAACAAATGTAGCAATTAGTATTCTATTAGGTTTACATTCATAACATTTAAAAAAGTTTTCTAAATCTCAAACCATATGCTCTGTAAAAACTTACTTAGTAGGAACTGCCGCAATACCCTAAATGAGAAGCTGTTGAAATAAGAAACTGGCCTCTCCTTCTCTTTTAGAGATTCTGATTACTTTGATCTTCTGCTGCTGCCTTATCCTTTAAGACAAATAATCTGGAGTATTAACAACTATTCCTAATTAAATAAATAGTTTTGGATTTATTTATGAACATACGATGCCATCCATTTACTCAGCCATTCATTTATATCTTCATTCAGTCACTAAACATGTCCTGGGTCCCCTACGCATCTTATTGTTACAATGTTTAAGGATGAAGATGCTGAGACCCTAACCGTATCTTTTTTCATAAAGCTAAGCAAACCCACCCCCTGAAAGCTCTCTGTGTGAATCAGAAACTGGTAGTTCTCTAAAGGTCCGGAGAGGAGAAATGTCAATCTGAAAAAGGGTATTTGCAAAAAGGCACAGTGGCAGGATGGTGGGGTGAGAAATGGGGCCTGGCTGGAAGGCTCTCTATATGTGTATTTTTATCATCCATGTGTTGGATGAAGCAGGGAGCTGCCAGATAGCTTCTTTTCGACAGCTTGGAGTTACTGTTGGGAACAGATCCATGTATGGAAGCGAAAGCCGAAAGGCACAGATAAGAAGAGATCCAGCTATGCAAACCATGTTTAGAGACACTTAAAGGACAAGCATCCCAGGTCCTTTCTTTCTGGTAAATTTGGAGAAGCCATCACACCGGGTCTGTTTTCACATCCAGCCCATGCAGACCGAGCAGCCCAGGCTTCGCTCAGGTAGGTGCAGGGCTTTTGTGATGAACGTTATCTGAAGGATCATTTGTGAATATTCCCTCCCAAGCCCTTGTCCCTTGGGGGAAGCTGCCAGATAATATTTGGGGAGAAAAGAAAAAGAAGGAAAGATTCAAGTTGGGGGTTTGTGACTAAGAGGTATTTAACAGCCCTGCCTTCACGAGACAGGGCAGCCTGGTTACAGACAGAAAGTGACAGCACAGAATCGTTGCCAAATATAATCCCTTTGTCCGGGGTCACTTACCGTTCAGAGTTTTGTGTACATGACTCTCTCTCGGTATTGCCAGCATCTTGGGAATGGGCCACAGCTTCTAGTGGATTCTGATACTGTGTGTTTTATGTGGGGGGGAGGCAGGACTTGCCCTTTCCTTACTTTGCTCCTCCAAAACCAGCAGCGTAAACTCCGGCGTGGCTAGTCCTTCCTTAGACATAGGAAGAGCTGCTTGTAAACGACATTATTATTTTTGGCAGTTGAAGTCATTTTTGCAGCATTTCTCAGCAGATTGGAGTTTGATTACATCCTGTTCCAAGATTCTTTTACATGGGTTTCTTTCACAAGTTCGGGGTCTTGCACAAGTTGAAATTGCTGAAACCAGCTGCAGGCACTGGACTTACCTCAGTAACTTTCACATTTTCTTGCTTTCTTTTTTGCTAATGACTGAACACGTGGGATCTTGAGGAGAAAATTTTCCAAAAGCTGTCACAGTTTTGTCATCAGGGATGAATGGGAAATAGTAGGTTGTGGCTGAATAACCCAAGCCGCAGGTCTCAAGGGTGCAAAGAAAAAGTATGAATGCGAAGGCAAGAAATGTCCATTTTCTATATGCCTCTAGTCTGTTTTCTAGAATAGTGGGTATGCTAGCCAAATCATATCTATGACACTTAAAATGCTACTCCAGTTAATTATCAAATTATAATTGTTGGATCATTAAAGACATTTAAAAAAAATATTAGCAAAGTTGGAGAACTCCTGAAAATATAAAAGTCAAAGGAAAAAAATTACAAGTCATATCTGTGAAAAGTGTGTTTTTTCCAAGATTTAATTAAAAGAAATTTCATCCAAGATAATGGAATTTAAATAAAAGATTTCTCTTATTGAGAATAATAAGTCTATATTTCAGGTAATATTTCAGCCAACTATTCATTTAACTAAAAGTTTTCGATCTTATGACAGAGCATGAGAGGAAAAGAAGAAAGAAAAATTGAATATGATTTTTCCTTCCCCAGTGACAAAACATGACATGGAAAATTATGAATAAACAAGTGTAAGAATATAGTAAAATGTTTGTAATACTAACCAAGCAGATGTTCTTTGGGTAAATAGTCAGCTGGCTAAGGCAGTTCACTTAAGGGATATACATGAATTGACTTTAGGTCTGTGGTGGTTTCCTTCAAGTTGCCACAGTTCCATAATACCCAAAAAGTTGTAGAAAAAGAGAAAATATGGTTCTGTTTCCATAATAATACTAAAATATGGGTGTTTTCATTAGATTATTCCTATTTACACCAAGGACGCATTATATTAGCAACATATTCACACTTACTCTTTCCACATCTCTAAAATAGGCTATTTTACTTCACTTAAAAAGACAAATATCTGAGAGAGAAAGAAAAAGAGAGAGTGGAAGGGAGAGAGAATAAACTATGCCTTCTTTTTTTAAAAAACTAATGGCAACAAGCTGTCATAACTTCAGCTAAAGTGAAACAGGCCTGCAAAAGGATGGTTTGAAAATACTTAATTAAACACTACATATCAACCAGTTTTCCAAAAGGAACAATTCAGCAGGCGTTTCAGCCATTTTCAGTTTGTAAAAGATTGTTCTAAATTATGTCACTGGTATTTGTGATCAGATGCAACGCACACGTGATATCAGAGACCATTTTCTCATTTGTTTACTGCCAAGTTCATCTCAAGTGTATACTCCTCATGAGAAATGTCTGCTCCCATTTTTCTTAGCAAAAAATCCTAGTAAGTGTAATATGAGTGATAAATAATGACTTCCTGCTATTTTTATATATGGCGTGTCAATATCTATGAAAAAGGTGACAGTTGCGCTGGTTACCCTTTGGACTTTTGACTTCTCGAGCATTCAGTGAAGACTATACATGGAGAAAGTCTTGAAGAGATCATATTTTGAGAAGATAATTGGAAGTACTACCAGTCTTATATGATAAAAAATGACTTGAATGTTCTATGTACACTACAGTTAGCTGAGATGTGAAACAAATTCGTGGTGGCCAAGAATGATAGAGAAATTACAATTTGTCCTTATACTGTATGGCACCAATTTAAGGCTTTTGTCTATGTAACACAGCCAAACCAGGTCACTCCTGGGCCTGGTCAATGAGCAGAAGGACCAAGTGTTTTATTTTCTTTTTTTAAGCCCTCACTTATTCATAAGAAAACTGTCTTTCATCAATAAACTATAGGATATGCTTATTGATTTTTAGAGAGAGAGAGAAAGGGAGAGAAAGAGACAAGCATCGATCCATTGCCTCTCGGACACACCCCAACCGGGCATCAAACCTGCAACCTTTTAGTGTGTGGTACAGTGTTCCAACCAACAGAGCCGCCATCCAGCCAAGGTGGCAAGCAAGTGTTTTTAGGGGCTTTGAACAGTATCCAGGAATATAGGGGGAAATTTGAATGAAGAGTAAGAGTAGAAATTGCTCTTCAAGAGGCATGGAAATTTTAGCCCATAGGAAAGGTCAGTAAGTTTCAAGGAAATGATAGCTTTGGTTACTCCTTTCAAAAGAAAATCACTTTAGGAACTGTAAATAAAATTAATTTTACTCAGGTGATTAAAAATGGTGGGGCATTCAGACAAACCACTGAAGATTTTAAGAACTTTAAAAAATGACAGAAGCCAGGAGACCAGGAGATAGTGCAGCTGAGGAATTTGAAAACCAGAGAGGCTGCAGCCCTTGTCTAAGGTCAGTCGTTAGAAAGCGAAGCTTCCCAAGACTCCAGATCACGTGGTTTTCTGATCAAAACTGATCTCCTGTGCTGTACCTCTTTCAATTTCTTAAAGGCACCTGATATTGTCCAGTGTCATGGTGAGATATTAGGAAAAAACTTCATGCCAGAAATTTTGTAGATGTAGTTAATTTAAGGTACACAAAGTAATGGAAGGGGAACAAATTTTCATGGCACTTGGTGCTGCTGAAGAAAAAACAGACTTTTCTATGCCATTAACTTCTTCCCCTGAAATGAGTCCCAGTTCTCAATTCTAACTGCATGTTAGAATCACTTGGGCGGGGAGGGTGATGTCTACCGCACACCTCAGTGAACTAATTGTGCTGATGGGGTCCCTCCCCATGAGGGCAGTTATTTTTTTAATATGCCCCATGATATTTGGGGGGTATTATTATCCCCTAGGTGATAATAGATATAAGTCAGGTGTCCATATTGTTAGTCATCAGAACATTTTTGAGTGTAAAAGAGGGAAATGTTAATAATTACACCAGGTCAACAGCAGTAAACTGGGAATGTCCAGGGCAAACTGGGACATACGCTTGCCCTAATTAAAAGGCTCTTTCAAGAATGAATGAGTATTGAGTAGGTGTTCAAAGGAAAGCAGCTACCAGTTCTTTCCCCAAATACTACGTTTATAACATATAGACTACAAATAATTCCATGAAACAATAAACTAGGGACTACTAGATTAAACCCAGGTAAATTGATTCTTTTCTGAAGGAGTCCTTGGAGTTTTTATTAAGTTAATTTACCTTAAGAATATCTAAGCACTGTTTATGTTATACAGTATTTTTCTAAGTCATTTGTCCATAGATTTTTTCCCAAAGAGATAGTACCGTATGATTCCAGCCTTCTGATGACCTGAACATGGGGAGTAATGAAGAGTATGGTTCAGTGGAATGGGCGATAATGCGATTCCAAGATCTTATCCAGAAATGTTGGTTAGATTGCTGAGCACAAACAATAACTCAGTGGTGTGGGGAATTCCAAACCACGTTTAGGAAGAGTGTCACTCTGAGTTAGCTGCTACCAAAATGCTGAGTTTGTTCTGATCTTTTGGAGAGAAAAAGAAGCCTTTTCCTGTTTTTCCTGAAAATCTAATATTTGCTTTGTTGTTGTGCTTCTATGGACTTCAGTTTATGTCTGGAAGTTTTTTAAAGTAGTTTCTTGGTGTCCTCTCCTTCTCCTCCAGTGAGGACTTGGGATCAGAGTCAAGGACAACAGGCCAGGAACAAACAAACAAACAAAAAAAAAACAGATTCTGAATTCCTGTTGACACAGAAGCCAGAAACATATATGAAAAACTGAAGTAGTTAAAGTATGAAAGCAAAAAGATGAGCTCAGAAATGGAAGAAGTACCTCAACTTGTCAGTTAGACACTCAAGCAGAAAGTTGCCCTTGGTCCTGGGGTAGAGGCTCTTGCTGGAAGCTAACTTCCCATATGTGCTGATGGGAATTGGGCATGTGACCCAGCAACCAAAACACTTGGGAACTTCCACCAACTTGTAGACACTGGCTTACAAATGATGCATAAGTTTTAACAAACTACTTAAAGAATACCTCTTTAAATCTCTCCTTTTAACCAATACTTCCTTGGCGGGGTTTGGGTTACCCTCCTCTATCCTCATGTAACTACTAGTAACAACAATAGGTAATATATAAGAATTCCTCTGCCCAGCGAGTTTAAATCTCTTAATGTTATGAGGTTAGGCTGACTTGACTTTAAACACTGACACTATATTTGCTTATTTGCAACCTTACAGCTCCTTGTCCAGTCTCCAGAAGTCCTCAAAGACTATTGGTTGGTTCAGCATTCTTTTTAAAGACATTTGCATATATCAGAATGTAATTTACTTATTATGCAAAGCTTCTGAACAAATTTAGAACAGCTAGGTACTGTTTTACCACCACTTTTATTTTTGACTCTAGTTTCTCATTACTAATGTTAACTACCTACCCTCCCATCCATACATCTAATTGTCTATTAAACCCATTTCTGAAGATCCCCTTACTCATACTTAATATATTCAAAATTAAAGTCATTATTTTTACTATCCCATCTGACTGACTTTTCTGGTTTATCTGACTCTTTGATTAACCTTAAACCAAAGAAAGCAGCTTAGACCTTTTTCCTTGACCTGCTATCTCCCTTCCACAACAAATAAATCCCCAAATTCTATAATCATACTTCCAGAATGTCACTCACATCCATTACCACTGCCATTTATAATTTATTACATGAATGATTGCAATAGCTAAAACATGCCCTTCCCCTCAGCCTGGCCACTCCCAACTCTCCTCCACTTACTGACAAAGTGATCTTGCTCAGACAAAAGTTTGATTAGGCATACACATGTGTGAATTCTTTTAATCAGTCTCTACAACTTCCAAGATAAAATCCAAACTCCTTAAGATAGTGCCAAAGACTCTTGAAATTGTAACTCCGTCTGTGTCCCTAAGCTTGTCTCTCTATCTCCCAATATACATTTTTTGTCCCAGCTTTCCCAAACTACTTATGATTCATTACAGTAGTCAAGAGTGGCTCAGATCTCCCTTCTCTTACATGTTTATTACCTTCTTTCTTCAGTGTATTTGTTTTCTT